ATCTTTTCCCTTTGCATTGGCAGATATTCTTCTTCTTGATGTGCCTATCCATTACGAATATTGGCGATCATGATGGCAATCTTTATCTTGTCTGCAGCAGCGCGGAAAAACTGCACAGATGTTGTATTGAACCGGATTCTGAGGTTCTTTAACCAAGATGTTCTTCTTCTTCCTGGACCTCGCTTTCCAAATATTTTTCCTTGCAGGATGGCTTGAAGGCGAGCATATTTGGATTCATTTTGCATATGTCCGAAGAATTGCAACTTTTGATGGTGAATTTGATGGTGATCAGTACCTCCCTGCTCTTATTCATTCTTCTGAGGACCTCCCCATTTGTGACTCGGTCAGTCCACGGGATCTTAAGTATTCTCCGATATAGGCACATCTGAAATGCTTACAGTTTACTGCACATATCTTCGTTCAAGGTCCATGATTCAACACCGTAAAAAAAGGACAGAGAAAACGTAGCATGGCAGCATTCTTACTTTTATATCAAGAGAGAGATTTTGACTCTCGAAGAAGGCCATCCGATTGAAGGTTGATCTAGCTTTTCCGATGCGTGCTCTAATCTTCTGATTGTTGGTCCATTCTTCATTTATCATGGTGGCGAGGTAGTTGTAGTGCGTCACTCTTTCTACAGGAGATTGGTTGTCGTAGAATTGACCTTCTGTTATCCTTTTCTTGCTAATTATCATAAGCGTCTTCTTAACGTTTATATCGAGTCCATATTGTTGACTGTAATACGTGATTTTGTTCATCATCATCATCATCATCATTGGCTTTTACAACTCTTCGTGAGTTTTTGCCGCGTTTATTATTGCCTTCCATTGATTCCGATCCTGTGCTATTATTTCCCATGGCCTTACTTCCATCTTCTCCAGGTCTTCCCTGACAGCGTCTTTCCACCTTTTTCTAGGCCTTCCTGTCGATCTTTTACCATCTGGTCTTTCCCAAAACACATTGCTAATCAGTCTGTCGTCATCACTCCGTACCACGTGGCCTGCCCATCTTAATCTATTGGCTTTTATGTATCTTACGATGTTTCCTTTCCCGAAGAGAGTCTCTATTTCATTGTTGTATCTGCTCCTCCATTCATTTGTCACGCTGTCCCTGCAAGGACCATATATAATTCGCAGGATTTTGCGTTCCCATACTAATAGCTTATTGATTTCTTTCTTTCTCAATGTCCATGTTTCACTTCCATATGTCACTGCTGGTCGTATTATGGTTTTGTACATTTGGATTTTGGCACGCCTTGAGAGAAGCTTTGACCTCATTAGATGTTGAATGACAAAGAATGATTTATTCCCCGCCAGTATTCGTATTTCAACCTCCAGTTCTCCTGTGTTTTCACTGGTAATTGTTGCTCCTAGGTATTTGAATTCGTTGACCACCTCAAAATTATGATCGTTTATGGTAATGTTTTGTCTTATTCGCTGTCGTTCCTTTTTTGATACGACCATGTATTTAGTCTTTTCTTCGTTTATTTTCAGGCCTACGCTTAGTGTTGCTTCTTCAAAGTTCGATACTATATCCTTAACTTCCAGTGTTGTCTGTGCTACTGCATCTACATCATCTGCAAATACGAGAATAATCTTTGCTCCTCTGGCAGTTATGTCTGGTTTGACTCTGGTATAGATTTTTCGCATTGCGTATTCCAATGCTAGGTTAAATAGTAATGGAGACAGCGGGTCTCCCTGTCTGAGCCCGGTGCTTATGCCGAAAGCCTTTGAAGTTTTGCCTCCTATTCTAATTTGTGCAAAGGAATTGTTGACACACATTCGCGCAATCATGATCAGCTTCTTTGGTACGCCTAACTCCATCATTGCACTCCACAATTTTAAGCGATCTATGGAATCATATGCTTGTTTGAAATCTATGAAGATCTGGTGTACTTCTTTATTATATTCCCAATACTTTTCTGGCATTTGTCTGATAGTAAATATTTGGTCGATTGTTGATCTTCCAGGCCTAAATCCGCATTGGTAATCGCCAATAATTTCCTCTGTATATGGCAGTAATCGTTTTAGTACAACTGAAGCTAATATCTTATATGTAGTAGGTACCGATTAGTGAGATTCCCCTGTAGTTGCCACATATATCCTTTCTGCCTTTTTTATGTGTTGGCACGATAATACAGCCACTCCATTCTTTTGGCATTATTTCTTGTTCCCAGGCTTCTTTCATTAATTGGTGTATTTTAGTTCTAAGTTCATGCCCTCCTTTTTTAATCAGTTCTGCATCAATATTGTCTAGTCCCGGGGATTTGTCATTTTTTAGGGTTTCTATCGCCGTGATAATTTCTTATAGGCTTGGCGGGGGTACTTATATCTCGGCCGTTTGGTACTCACAATTTGCTTTATTTCCATCCGCGTCTACCTGGACATTTAGCAGACTTTCAAAGTATTAAGCCCATCTTGCGATTATTTTATTTTCAGCTATAATCATTTGCTCATTTTTGTCTCTCACAAAGTTCGGTGTTCTTATATATGCACCTTTCTTATGTTGTCTTACTACTTTGTAGAATTTTTTATTTTGCTTGCTTCTGTGTTCACGTTCTACTTTTTCAATTTGTTGTTGTAAATGTTGTCTCTTTTTTCTCCTTACTGTTCTTCTGGCTAAGGCTCTCTCTCTATTGTATTGTTCACGCTTTTCATCCGTCGGGTTGCTAGGTAGTCGATTCTTCTTTTGTTTGCTTCTTTTAAGGTATCCTCGCATTCTTCATCAAACCATTTTTTTCTTTTTGCTTTTCTCTTCCGACCTATACACTTCTCTGCTGTTTCTGTAATGATCGTTTTAATGGAGTGCCATTTCTGGTCTATATTTTCTCTTTCATTTTCTTTCGTTTCCAACACCTGGAACCTGTTTCTCAATTCTAGTTGGTATTGTCTCTTTCCCTCGTCTTCTTCCAATTTAGACACATTCCATCTTTCGATCTTCATCTGTTTGTCTGTTGTTTGTGTTGAGATTCTAGTTTTGTTTGAATTCTAGATGTATGAACAAAATCAAAATTTTGATTTTGTTCATAAGAACTTGTAAGTCTTCAAAGTTGTCCGCAAATACTATGGTCTCATCTGCATATCTGATGTTGTTTAGCCGGTAACCATTTAGTAGAATACCTTTTTCAGTTTCGTGCAAAGCTTCGATAAATATTCTTTCAGAGTACAAAATAAAGATTAGAGGAGACGAAATACAGCCTTGACTTACTCCACGCATGATTTTCACATAGTCACTGTGTTCACCTTCAACTCTGACATTTACTGTCTTATTCCAATAAAGATTTCTAATTATTTTCAGATCTTGGTTGCTAATCCCTGCTCCTTTTAGTATTTGCATCATCTTGGCATGCTGTACTCGATCAAACGCTTTCTCGTAATCAACTAAACATGCGTATACGTCGCAGTTGACGTCTCTGCATCTCTGGAATAAGACATGTACTAAGAATAAAGCATCTCTAGTACCAACAGCATCTGTGAACCCGAACTGGTTGAGGGAAATTTGACTTTCACACAGCTTGTAGATTCTCTTATGAATTATCTTTAGGAAAAATTTTAGGAGGTGACTCACGAGGCTTATAGTACAGTAATATTCGCATTTTTTGGCTCCTGGGTTTTTTGAAAGTGCAATAAACTCAGTTTTCAGCCATTCCGTTGGTATTTCTCCAGAGTTGTATATATATATATATATATATATATATATATATATATATATATATATATATATATATATATATGTTGTTGAATATCTTTGCGATTATTGGTATTAATTCGTTGTCCATTAGTTTGAGTAGTTCTGCTTGTATATTATCAGGGCCTGCTGCTTTGCCATCCTTTAACTGTGTTATTGCGGAATAAACTTCCTGCTGTAATATTCTTGGTCCATCATTTACCTCTTCTTCTAGCTCAAAGGTGTTATATCTTTGGTCTTCAAATAGTTTTTCTAGATATTCTTTCCACGTTCTTATTTCATTTTGTTTGTCCAAGATGTTTCCGCCAGAATCATGTTATATTTCCTTTTTGCCTTCCTCTTAGTCCTCTTACGAGTTCATTAACTTTCCTATGTACATTGTGACTATCATACTTTAACTGCAGAGTTTCAATTTCTTCATCTTTCCCTTGCTTCTTTTTCTTTTGCTTCTCCGATTTTGGTTCTTATTAATATATTTATGGTTTTATATTTGTCTGGATCATTTTTGGCTTCTCTTCTCTCGTCCATTAGTTTCAGGATCTCATCTGCCAATTATGATTTTTTCTTCATTAATCTATCTTCCTTTAAGTGTTTATCCTTTACATTTTGCACTATTTCTGTTTGATCGTTTGTTCTTCGTTCGATTCGTCTCTAATTGCAGTCACTTGCTAATTTAACATGTCTTGGACTCTCATTCTCGTATCGAGGTATTTCAGCATACATAGGTCGTATGATTGTGCTTTCCTTTTCTGCACTGTTTTGAGTTTGACTCGAAATACTCCCGTGGTTTGTCTCCAAGTCTGCTCCAGGATAAGTCTTGACAGATGTAAAGCTGTTTCGGAATCTTTTCTTTATTAAAATGTAGTCTATTTAATTCCTAATAATTATCCCGGGTATGTCTTGAGGAGATTTCCACGTGTACAGCTTGCGAGGTTGTAATTGGAAGAATAAGTATGTTAGTGACAACTAGTTCTGAGTCTTCTGCGAATTTTTCTAGGAGGCCTCCTCTCTAGTTTCTGACTCCAATCTACTGACAGATATATTGAATTATAAACATCTTTTTTTTGTCGGTCCATTCTTCATTTACAGTTTCGTTTAATATTTAACAATTTTTCATATTAGAATTGATTCAGCACTCATATTTTTCATTTATGATCTTATTGATCTTAACATTGCCTTGTATATACGGAAATTGACACGTCTTGGCACATTTTTAATAAAGTAATATTTTTGTGTAGAACTCTGTTCTCTTAATCAGGCTTGTAGTGCTCAAAATTCTAGTAAATTAATAATATTCATTAAAAATAACTCACCTCATCTGTAACTTGCCCAGCTTTGAGCTGGAGCTCTTGCAGTTCCGTCCTGGGCGCCCCATTTTCAGCAGCAGCTGGCGCAGGCATTTTTTCTGAAAAAAAAAAAAAAGAAAAATGTTTAACAGAATAGTGCAAAATTTGCATTAAGCGAAATGTTAAATACTGAATCTTAGCTGCTGAATGAGATGTTTTGAATAATTAATATCGTATTATAAATGGAAAAAATCATATAGTACAACTAACGAGTCATATACCACAGATTAGAGCTGCTATTTGAGAGAAATTATTACGTATGGGACCGCAAAAGAGAATAAAGGCAAGTAAAATGGTGATGTAAATACTGTTATATTACTCATCTAGCACAACCCATATTCTATAGTACATTTGAAAATGAATGATAGCACAAATTTTATTGCTGGCAAGAAAACCGAATATAGCATCATGAAACAGTAACAGAGATATTCTAAAATATTCAGCATTGTTTTGAAAATGTTTGGATTGTTCTGAAAATGTTTGGGTTTTACCTAAAATTTTTAAACATACCAATTTATTTCAATTCTTGTCTTAAATTTTGTAGTAATTTTAATAAACAATGATATAAGTAATCTATACAAATACAAAATATTTACAATTTCCAAAAAGGGGAGGATCTATTTATAAACCGTCAACTTTTTTAGAAATGATTAAAATTTCCAAGTGGCAGAACGTGTTTTGCAAATTGTGAATCATTTTAGTTACGATTAACGGGTTGTGTTTGTAAACTCCTGTGATTAAGTATAATACGCAGAACTATTAGTTCTTCTTCTTCTTCTGGTAGCACTACAACCCGGGGTGGGTCTTGGCTGACTGCACAACCTGCTTCCATCTCGAGCGGTCGTCCATGATGTTTAAGTCAGTGGGTAGCCCCACTGTTCTCAAATCTGACCATATATTATCTCTCCATCGCATTCGTGGACGTCCTTCTCCCTGTCGGGACTTCTTCCCAGATTAACTTGGTAAGGCGGTCATTAGGGAGCCTATGAACATGGCCAGCCCATCTTAGACGTTGGGATTTAATCTCTTGGACTACGTCGCTAGCACTATACATTTGTTTGACCTCGGCATTTGTTCTCATTCGGTATTGGTTAGTATTTGGATCGTGACAGGGACCGAAGATCTTTCTGAGGATTTTTCTCTCAAAGCATCTGAGTTTATTTTCCATTGCTTTTGTCAGCGTCCACGTCTCACACCCATACACGAGCATCGGTCTAATTACTGTTTTATATATCCTGATTTTTGATGTTCGTGTTAGGCTCTTGGATTTAATAACTGTTAGTTCTACAGTAAAAAGCGATATTAATAACTGAACTTATGTAGTAAAAATTTCACAAACATCTAATTTTACTTTTGTGAAATTAAAGTGTCACTTAACCGTGCCAATGAAACCTTTAGTGTTAAATGTACATGATGTTCTTGTACATTTTAGAAGTACGTACTGTTCGGAGTATAATTTCTAAGTGGACAGATATGACCAGAGTTGGAGAAGCAACTACAGTGGTACCTCGACATACGAGTGTAATTAATTCCGTAATCGTGCTCGTATGTCAAAGCAATTTTCCCCATTAAAATTAAGTGAAATTATATTAATCCGCTCCAGGCCCCAAAAAAAACCAGTTAGTTGTTTTTGTTTTTTGTTGTGTTGTGTTGTGTTTTTAAATAAAAAATGTATTTAACACGTTCGCTGCCGACTATATTTTGTAAATCAATGCTTCCGTGAGCCAGCCATTCTTTTTTTTAAGTGCTCCTATTAACCACCATATAACAAATGTGTTGGTCCCATCGGGACAACGCGGCCCAGTGAACCGTACTAATGCTTCTGTGCGCCGTTGGTCCGTCGCAGTAAACATAACCTAACATAAATAAACGAATTTGCATTACCTATTGTTCTTGTTGATTGTTTTTCATTTCAATAAATTGAAAGAATAAATTGCTGTAAGTATTAAATAATGTTTAAATTACAATATTTTTACAACATATTGTGTAATTTTAGATGTCTCGACGTTCTAAACCTCTGACAGAGCGTGAATTGCAAAACATTGCAATCAATTTTGGAGAACTCTCCGATGACGATGATGAACCATTCGAAGCTTCTGATAGTAAGTACCTGTGTAGTTCAGAAGAAGAATCGGATTCGTCAGATTCACAAGAAGCGGTGGAAAAAGTACGAAAGTTTTTACAGAGAAAAAAAAAATTAGATTCACAACCTACTCGTCATGTTCACGATAATATCAATCCAGGACCGAACTTAAATTCAATGCATGATCCAGAACAACCTAATCATAATCTTCAAGGTAATATCGTTCCAGGACCGAACTTAGATCCACACCGTAGTGAAGATCCAGTACCGAATATAGAACCAAATTGGGGTCCAGTAGTAGGTAATTATAAGCTAATAGCACCTTTTTCTATTCCGTCAGGAGTAAATGATGAAGTAACTGCAATGTTGGCAAATGGTACGCCTGGAGACTTTTTTGATGCTGTGGTCGATGACAGAGTAATTAGTCTGATTTGTAACCAAACAAATATATATGCAACTCAGTCTGTACTGACTGCAGACGCAACACCAAGCTCTCGCTTACATGACTGGATTCCAACGACAAATATTGAAATTTAAAAATTTTTAGGACTGGTTGCCTGGATGGGTTTAGTGAAAATGCTAAAAATCGCAGACTATTGGAGTAACGATAACCTATTCTACAATAATTTTACAAATAATGTAATGTCTAGAAATCGATTCGAGATGCTGTTAAGGATGTTTCACTTTAATGATAATTTATTGGCAGATACAAGTGATAAACTGTATAAGTTAAAGCCATTTGTCGACATTCTGACTGCAAATTTTAAGTCTTTATACGTGCCGGAAGAATATGTCTATATCGATGAAACCCTATTACCCTTTAGGGGACGCTTGGGGTTTAAACAGTAGGTACCTACATTAAGACAAAAAGACACAAATATGGTGTAAAAATTTTTAAAGTATGTTCTGGATCTGGATATACTTACAATTTCAAAGTATATGCAGGGAAAGAAAATAGTTCTAACGTCACTCCAGAAAGCGTTGTTCTGTATCTTATGGAGGATTTAGTACATCAAGGAAGAACTCTGATAACCGACAATTGGTATACAAGTTTACCGCTAGCAAAAAAAATGTTGTCCGTCGATACACACCTTAGTGTACGGAGTGCTTACGGAAGCGCTTAATTTTCGTCAGTGGTCTTCGCTTTTTTCGTCACACTTTGCTCACTTTTATCTGCAGATCGTTTAAAAAAACTGTTCAATGAGGTTTGTTTCTTCCTCCCTGTCAGAATATTACGGGAATGTGTTAGGCAAGTTTCGTTGAGCGACACCGATGCACGATCAGTTGTAACTCTTTCGGGGTGATTTTTATCCACGAACTCTGCAACTTTCTCCCACATTCTCAGGATCTCCCTTATATCTCTTGTAGAGACACCGTCCTCCAATTCTGGCTCCTCTTCAAAACTAATTTTTCGCTTAACCACCGTACGCTGCTGCGAATGCAGTTCGTCTAACTCCTCGATTTTCAGCTCCTGAGACTGTTCCTCGACAAGTTCGTTCACATCGTTCCAGTCCTTCGCAGGCCCTTTTATCTACAGCCTCAGGCCACAGCTTCTTCCATGCAGAGGTTAAGGTCCTTGTTGTAACACCTAGCCAGGCCTGCTCAATAATTCTTAGGAATATTACTATGTTAAAGTGGTCCTTCCAGAACTCTCGAAGGGTAAGATTTGTATTCTCCGTCACCTCAAAGCAGCGCCGAAAAATATGCTTGGTATACAACTTCGTAAAATTAAAAATCACTTGCTGATCCATGGGCTGTAAGATAGGTGTGGTGTTGGCTGGTAGGTAGAGAATTTTTATAAACTTGAACTCTTTTAGTAAATCATCTTCGAGATTTAGTGGGCGAGAAGTGACAAACATCAGGTTTATCCACTCTACAATAAATTTCCTGGTGACCCACGCCTTTGGATTTGCACTCCACATACTTAACTGACAGTTCTTTTTTAAATCTTATGTGACTTCAAGACTCTGGGACTTTCTCAATGGTACACTAGAAGAAGTTTGATTTTACAGTCACCACTGGCATTGGCGCAAAGTAGTAGAGTTAATCTATCTTTTCTAGCTTTGCGACCTGGCATCGTCTTCTCCTCTGCCGTTATTCGGCATCTTTTTCCAGAAAAGCATTGTCTCGTCACAGTTGAAGACTTGCTGGGGGATGTATCCTTTGGCTTCTATCAGTTCAGAAAACGGTTTGATGTAAACCTCAGCTGCTTTCACACATCCGAAATTGCTGCCTCGCCATGCCAGACGACGGAGTGAATGTCGGTCCTTTTTCTAAAGTTGTCAAACCAGCCCCGACTGGCTTTAAACGAGTCTTCCAATTCCACACAATTGTGTGGGATTTGCTTAAGTAAATCTTCGTAAATCTCTCGGACCTTCTCACATATGATGCTTTGTGTTGAGGTTTCTCCTTGAAGCTGCTTCTCTGTCACCCACACCATTAGTAGTTTCTCCATCTTTTCATGGAGAGAAGTCCGGAGCTTAGAAATTATTGTAACGCCCTTAGCTGGCATTATACCAATTATCACCTCCTTCCGTTTAAGTACAGTACATATCATTGAAGTGGTACGCCCGTACATTTTGCTCATGTTTTTCAATGATTTCACGTTTTAATTAAATATACATCATCTTATTCTTCGAACTCACGGTTGTAAAAATAAATGGAATATTGTAATGTCAAAAGGCACAAAAAACGAACCCAACTTATAAACAATACTTTGAAAATGAGGGAAACCAGCAAAGCAGATAGACTGAGGTCTATAATAAAAATTTACAGAGTGTAAATTATACAGACATCTAGAGTGCAATATGGTTAGTATTAAAATCCGATTTTTTGTCGGATTTAACTTTCAATGACCAAAATACTCGTATATTAGGGCGCTCGTATATCGAGTTACCACTGTATTTAATTTATAGACATTTAAAGCAACCAAAGAGTGAATGTATTACAGATGCACTTAAAATGTCAACTG